GTGCAGCAACGCCCCCCCCCCCCCCGGGCGCGTGTCGGCACCCGACTGCCTGGTGCCTTGATTGCACGGGCAAGGTACAGGTGGACGTTGACGATGGCGCCAGTTCAGATCCAATGCAGACACTGTATCTAATGCGCTATTCAAAACGATTTTGGGAGAGCTCAACCAATCCAAGGACGCGCCCGGCGTCTTCAGATCAGCATCCTTCCTATTGCAGAGGCTGCAGTCATGGGTAAAAAGAAGCAGAGCATTGGTGTTAGTGAGATGGAGGACATGGTGCAGAGCGAGGGCGGCACGCTTTACGAGCTTGTCCCTGCGGAGCTGGAGAATGGCGCAATGGAGGAAGATGCGCGGCGAAAGGTGGCAAAGGACAATGTGGCAGAGCTGCTAGGGGACCAGTTCGAGCCAGACATCATCGACGAAGTGCGCGAGTTCAGGTGCGGCCGCCGCAGCCGAACCCGCTCAGCAGCGGGACTCGTGCGACGCGCCGATGTGGCGACGGATGCCTCCAACATATGGGATGTTCGTCAGGAAGTTGAAGCTGAGGGGGCCATGCATACACCCAAATCAGGCTGCTATGAGACGGCAGGTCACACACGAGCAGGCATGCAATCTCCCCAAAGGCGGTCTGGCACCTCTGCCAGTGGCCCGCGGGACCACCCTTTTTGCGCTGCACGCGCTGCGACCCACCTCGCTCCCTCTGCAGCGCGCCCCCCTGGGAGGCCTCTGACGAGTCTCTGGACCCAATAGAGGACCTGGAGGACTACGCGCTGCATGAATTCCGCATGCCGCCACCAGAGTACAAGGCAGTGCAGGACGCAGGTGCGCTCGCGCACGCGTGCGTGCGTTCGTGGGTGCGCTGTCGGCTGGCGCCCGGCGAGCTTGCTCACGCTCATAGGCCCAGCCCTGTCCTGGCCCAGCCGGGCGTTGGGCAGCGGCGCCCGTCCCTGTCTCGTATGTACCGGTCGGCTCAACATGCCACACTGCCTGCCTGAGCCAGGCTGCACGCGCTCAGGGGTGCACACCCTCCCCGGTCTGCACATCCTCGCGTTCCAGTGCCCAATCCCATCAACATGCCCCCGCCCTAAACCGCCTCGTCACAACTCCTGCCCACCCACCCATCCATCATCCCAACAGCCCAGCAGGAGCTGGCAGAGCTGGATCAGCTGAGGGGGCCTGCTGACCCCAAGCTGGCGGCCCGCGTGGCGCAGCGCCGCGCGCTGGTGCAGGGCCGCACCGCCCAGGACGTAGCCTGGCTCAAGACCAAGGCCTACCACAGGGCCATGCGCATCCTACGGCAGCGGCGGCTTGAGAGGGAGGACGCGTCTGCAGCGCCGGAGGACGGCGAGGCCGCTGATGTGGCGGCGCCGGGGTCGCGGGCGGCGCGGCTGGCGGCCAAGGGGGCGCCGCTCGACGTGGTGCCCGCGGCGCTGATCGACCTGACGCCGGCCGACGCGGCGGCGCGCGCAGCGGCGGAGGCGGAGGCCGCGGCGCGCGAGGCGGCGGCGGGCGATCCGAGGGCGGAGGCGGCGTATGCGCGCGCGGCGGCGGAGCTGGACAGCGGCAGCGGCAACGAGGACGGCTCGGAGGCTGGCGGTCCGTGGTGGTTGCAGCAGCACGAGGAGCAGCGGCAGCAGCCGCGGCAGCAGCAGCAGCGGGGTGGCGGATTCGATGCCTCATGGCTGTCGCCAGACCTGCGTAAGCACCCGCTGGTGCTGGGCACGCTTGCGGCGGCGCTGAGCTCTGCGCTGGGCGCCGACGTGAGCCCGCCAACCAGCAGCCCCGCGGCCGTCGCCGCCGCCGACCGCGCCTCAGCCCAGCTTGCCCTGGCGCACGCCGGCGGCCCGGGCGCGGTGCGGCGGGCGTTGGCGGCGGTGGAGGCGGCGGCGACGGCCGCGGTGCCGGAGGTGGCGCGCGCGGCATGGGTCCAGGAGGCGCGCGAGGCGGCAGCGGAGCGCGCCCCCCAGGTGGTGGAGTATACTGAGGAGCACACGCAGCGTCTGGCGCGGGCCAAGGCGCTGCAGCGTTACCGCGCCGCGCGCTCCGGCGCGTTCTGGCTCGCGCTGCTGGGCTCGGCCGGGCTGGGCGTGTACCGCTGGCTGCGCGACCGCCGGCGCGCGGCGCGGCGCGCGGCGGCGGCGGCGGCGGCGCGCGCGGAGCGGCGCGCGGGGGCTCGCGCCGGGGCTGGCGGGTCGCGGGGCACGTCTGTTGCGGGTTCGCGCGCTGGGCGCGCCTCATCGGTGGCCAGCAGCGATGCTGTGATGCCGGTGGTGCTGGAGGGCTGACGCCGCGTGACGTCACGCGGGCGGGTCATTGCCTGGGGGCGATGCCGTGGACGAGCACTGAGGCGAGCACGAATTTGCTTAGTCTTACCGCCCTACCTCGCCTGCCCGGCAGCAATGTAACAACAAGGACTCGCAGCATCAAAGTGAGGAAGTGTGATTAATGGTTGCGGCAGCGGGTAGAAGGGTCCGCGCCCTGGCAGCCGCCCCATGCGTGCGCCCTTCAATGGGGTCACAAGGGAAGCTTGACGATTTAACGTACGATCAGCTCATACGCGGCAGCAGCGCTGGGGCAGCGCCAACACACATCTGCAAGCAGGAGTGCTGACATCCACGCAGGGCAAGGCAGGGCAGCCGACAAAAGTGCGGCCACAGCTCCAGGCAGGACCGGCAATGGCCGTGTGGCACGGCGGTGGCATGGGCGCCGCGCAGTGCGGCGCGATCCTCTTGGGACGTGCCGTTGCCACAGCAGGGCGGCGGCCCTCGTGCGCCAACCCTTCCAGTACCACCTGTATGAGAGAGACCAAAGACACGCGGCCAAAAGTCCGATCACATCGAAAAAACATGTCTGCCAATGTAAGCTCCCTAGACGTCCACCCCCTGCCGGCAGGCTTAGCCTCAGCGGCCGCCCTCGTCCTCGTCCAGCGCGGCGTCGCGCCCCGCGGCCGCCTCCCGCTCCATCAGGGCCGCGTACAGCGCCTGCAGCCGCGCCGTCACGGGACCGCGCCGTCCGCTGCCAATGACGCGGCCGTCCACCTCCACCGCGGGCAGCACCCCGGCCATGGTGCCTGGTGGTGGTGGTTTGGGGGGGGGGGGCAGGAGAGGGAGGTGACAAAGGGTGATATAAGGGAACATGGCGGGTGGTTGCACCGTATGTGCATGTGGGGGGCTGGGACGGGTGATTTGCAGGTTGACGCAAACAACCCCATGCTCAGACGACTGGGCAGACGGCGCATGTGGACCGATTCTGTCCATCTGCGTCGCTGACGCACACACGTAACATGCGCCCGTGTGTGGAGGTTGTCCCCATGCCCCTCCC